AAAAGTACTTTAAATTGTATAAATAATGTAAAATTAAATTGATTTAAACAGCCAATCATACGAATGTCTGCCTATGAGAGAACAGCTTAAGCGAAGCATCAAAAAAGAGTACACTAAGTGAACTGTTGACAATATTTTTCTATTAATGTTGCTGATAAGTGTAAAAAACATTTATTTAGTCAATATTCTTAACAAGTAGCTTTATAGATGATGAATTACAATTATATGGTATGCCAAGGAGGATGGAATCCTAAAAAACTGCTTACTCGCGAGAGCAAGGATTCCATTGCATTCTGTCATAACAGCAGATATTCTTTATGATCTTGTTCATTTACTGCTAACTTTAAGAGTACGTGTTTAGTTTTCATATAATTAAATGTAAAAATATTCTTATCGAGATTTCATTACAAAAATTGCTAAGTAAAAAGAATGAGAAATATAGTTCCGACGAGGCAACAACATCAACCCATCAGTTCTCCATCACACTCTTCATCAATAACAAGAAAGGCAAGTAAACCCCCTTTACGTGACGAAGGAAGATTAAACAAAAAAAGAGCAAAAATTTTCGGAATTTATTCAAAATTTGATTTTTTACCTTGTGTACTGATATGTGTCGATGATATTTTATTATTTTGAACTTACAATGAACTATTTTTTTCAATAAAAAGATTCAAGAAATAATTTACAAGATTTGATTGATTCTATTATAAAAATTTGATGCGATATAAAAATGATATAATTTTTTTCACAATGCAATGCAAATTAAACAAATTGAACGACTTTGTTAATTAAAATTTTTATACCGATATCGATTTTCTGTGCTGAAATATAAAAAAGAACTATTTTGTATTCTCTTTCATTGGTTATTATTGATTTCTTCAAGACTTTTTCCCTTCGTCTAATCCATTAAAGAAAAATAATAGTATTATAATATGTAACAAGACTAATGATAAGTCTGAATTAATGTTGCGGACTAAGCTAAAATTATTTGCTTTCGCGAAATTATTTTATTCTGGTAAAGAATATTTCAAAACCTGAAAAGTATTTCGCTCACAATACAATAACTATATTTTGTCGCAGGCTAAATTAGTTCGCAATGGTGAAATGTTGAAAAGTAATTTCGCCCGCAACATTAATCCGAATTAAAAAGAAAAAAAAAAAAAAAATTTAACATGCCTCAGGAAAAAACATTAAAGTTGCAATTGCTGAAATTCCTGAAATAATAGCAAAAACAATAAAAGTGTATCCTCCAAGAGATTGTTGGAGTACCGGAAATATTAGAATGATCAAGAAATTACAGAGCCAGTTTATTCCTAAGCATATCGAACCACCGGAACTTACGCAATGTGTTGGTAGTACCTCTAAATAATAGAAAAATTGTAGATTGTGATTGTGATAAAAGTTTTATGAAAACTTTGTGAATCTAATAAAAAATTACCTGGTGTAATAAGGAATGCTATTGGACCAATCCCAATAGCAAAAGAAGAAATAAATAACAAAACTAATAAAGAGAATATATTAATCTACGTATTCATAGACAAATTCTTTAAATCACACTACTTACCAGCAACAATCACCAAAACATTATCGTGATACAAAGATCCAATTACTACAAAAATCGATGAAACGCACATTCCAATAAATGAAGTAAATAATAAAGGTTTTCGACCTTTTTTATCTACCAAGTAAGCAGAGATTAATGTCATCAACAAGTTAACTATTCCAACTCCAAGAGTTGCATATTTGGCTCCACGACCAAAAATTTGAAGGAATATAGCGGTACTATTTTAAGAATACAAATATTTTAATAAAATAAACTTTGTTTAAATATATATATATATATATTGCACACCTGTAAAGAATGATTCCGTTGATACCACACAATTGTTGCATCATATTAAGTCCGACGCAAATTAAAAGCATCCTTCGACAACGTGTGTCTCGTAAAATCTGTATAAACCCTCTGGCATTCTGAATTTTTGGCGTAGCTACTATTTCTACACCTTCAGCAGCAGATGACATGCCGATATTTGAATTTTCGTTCATGTCACTTTCCACATGCTTTCCATTAGATTGTGTAGTCTGACCTCCAACAATCTCCCGAAATTCATTTTCAACATTATACCCATTTCTTAATTTTTGCAAAGCATCCTTTGCTTCTGAAAATCGATTTTGTTAAATCAAATATCTTGGTGATTCAACGCATAAGGGTAAAAGCATGAGCTGAATTAATGCGGGGATTGCTGTTAACCCCAATAATATACGCCAACCTGGAACGAATGAAAGCACAAGACCGAGTAATTGTGATATTAAGATACCAATTACTATGAATAATTGATAAATTGTTCCTATGGCCCCACGTGATTTTATGGTTGCTATTTCACCTATATATGTCTTTCAAAAATTTGAAATTTAGTAATAATAATATGTACAAAGTAAAACCCTGAAATATTATATATTACCGGAGCAGCTACTGATCCAATACCACTTCCAATACCAGTTAAGATGCGACCAGCTACAAACATTAAGGGATGAAGTGCTGTTCCTAGTAACAAGCCGCCGAATATCCAAGTTATGGTATTGAACACCAAAGTATTCCGTCTTCCGTAGAGTGTTTGAAAATGGCCTGCAAGAAGGCCTCCAATAAGGCCTCCAAGCGCATAACTTCCCGTGGCAAAGCCCCTGTTATAAATTAGCTACATATTTAGTTGAGACCGTTAATACTCCTATGCTTTTCTTGAAAGGATCTAAGTTCGACTTCTTACCATAAAAAATTGTTCATTGGAAGACAATTCGGTAAATTTGATTTTACACGTGGGTGTTCGGATGTACAATTCCTAATAGTTTGTTCTTGCAAAATGACATTTTTTTCGTAGAATTAATATCACGTGACAATGGTTCGTTTTCTATATAAGATTATACAGTATACCGGGAATGTTTGTGACTCCGAGATTCCATCCATTTTCAAGCGATGCAATAACGGCCACAAAAGCAACAAACAAACAATATGATGGAAAAGAGGCGGCTTTCGAGTCTAGAGATTGTTGTGAAGATGAGTCAATAGAATTCCTACTTAAAGATCGGTCACTTTGCGGGTTGCTTAAACTGCGCTGATCAGTATTGTGTGAAAGCATATTAAATTGATTTTTACAATTTTTACGGCAATTAAATAAATAGATAATGAATCATTCATGGAACTAAAACATTCGGATTTAAGGATGCTTTATATATTTGTATTATTTCAAAAATGGCACTTATTTTTGGAATTTCCAAAGATTGATGTCACATCATTTAATAAAGTGATGAAGAAGCATATTAAATATCAAATAATTTCCTTTATTAGTCATAAAGTGTGGAATTGTATCATTGTTATACAATATAGTAATATTATTTTATTTTAAACATCCAGAAAAGGTGTACCCCAAAAATTAAATCAAAATGTAAAGCGTAAGGATGTTATCGGCTTATATATATTTAAATATTATAACCCGATTAATATAAACAGAGCCAAATGAACTGACATCTTTATCAAAACGGTCGGTGCTGGTATATTACGTATTAATATTATCATAATATATGCGCTATTAAATCATTTTTTTATATTGAAATTTTTGTGCAAATTGGCCGACCGGGATATAAATTTGGCGAAAACTTGTTACCGGAGTTTCAAGTTTATCAAGATCTAACCTAGCTAACCCATAAAAAAATGTAGCTGATGTCATCATTGATGCATGAAATTTGAAGTTCTTTATATATGCACTTAGCGATGATAATTTTTATCAAATATATATTTAATAATATTTTTTTTCTTTTAACTAACTTTAGCATTTGTTTAAAATAAAAATAATTGAAAGTTGAATTATGTGAACCAATACATTGTATTATGATTTAAATCTGCCAAGTTCGAGAAGTTTTTTTGCGGTTTTCAAGTTTTTTAATGTCTTCAACTATATTTTCCAAAGCTTTAAAATTTGAACGAACAGAATTTAGCCAAATATTTCGATTTGGTTAATTTTGTGAAATGTTTAGAATTTCTTTAAAATATAATAATTTGATAATATATAATTTAATGTTGATACCCAGAAGATTTAGATAATGTTGGTCTCCTAATGCTTAATCAGGAGACTTCTATATCTTGTAGAGCCATGCAAGCCAGGTATATAGTGATCAATGTAGAAGACATCCCACTATTCTTAGAATCCATATCATCATTTTACTTTGAGAAACAAATACTATTACCTAGTTTAAACATCTCACCCTATTCCTAGAATTTTTTTAAAAAAACTTTTTAGAAGAAGATTCTAATAATTATTATACTTTAAACAACACAGACCCAAACCAAGACATACCCCCACTATATAGCTGGTCTAGATTTGTACCTTTTTTTTAACCACTGATTAGTATTTACATATCTGCTATATTATCCACATTATCTACTATCTCAACTTTTAAATTGGTATATATATATTACTCTAGATAGATGTTTTTTGCTTCTTGCTTCTTTACAGAAATTAATTTTTTTTTTAATAGAGTTAAGATAATCTTAAAGATATTAATATAATACTTTAATAATTATAAGATTATTTTAAGATAAAATTTTAGTGTAAAATTTTATAATTATTATAAAATTATTATATAACTATTATTTAATGTTATTATAAAATGCACTCAGATTTACTCGTTATATTATTCTTGGCGAAAAATATACTCTCTTTTAAGAAAAGTACAAGGTCTATACTCTTTACTATCACCCACTTGTGCTTACAACAAAATTTTCAAAAAAAGTGAGCAAAACAGCTTATTTCAGTCAAAAGATCGGTATTGTTTACTCCTTCCAAATTTGGATAAGTCAGTAGATTGCAATCACATGTTTTGTTTGACTATATATACAGTCACAGTGCTATCGTAAAGGATTAGTATGTAGATCTGGATTATTTCTGAAATTGGTTATACATCAAAAAGAAGTTTTTATATTAAGGCAATGCTTTACAACAGAGATATATGAGTGTTGCATTTAGTATATAATTTTTTAGTCTCATACACAGGCTTAATAGTATATATATTTTTTTTCTTTTTGCTTCTTTTTTTTTGTTTATTTGTTTTTTTTTTTTTTGGCTTTTGCTAGTTTCATTCTGTCTATTTATGATTGAACTCAAGTTAGAAAATTTGGTTCTTTTCTTTTTTGTCTGGTTTTATACCTGTAATTTTCTTTTGTAAATTTGGAATATATTTTCTTTCTTTATGAAAATGTAAGAGATAAACTATTCTGCCCAGACTTAGATGAGAAAAGTTGAAGGCCAAAGGTAGCTAAATACCAGGTTATAGCAAGTTTTTAAATGCATGTAGCAGCGCATGTAGGATTTGTTGCCAACATCTGTATGATAACCGTACTTGGGCACTTTTATAGCAGCCAGATATTAGCTATAGATGCCACCAAAATTAATTTTCAAAAAAGGCCTATTTCGTCTCCATTAGAGCAAATTAAAATTTTTTATAAGAAAGAGCAAATAAAATTTATATATTTATACTCCTTATAATTTCATCTATTCAAAAAAAGTGTTAAAAAATTTTGTCTTTTAAGTAAAATAGGTCAAAAACAATTTCGTCTTCAAATTTTAATTTTGGGTTTTAGACCCCAAAATAATTTCGTCGACATGTATAGTATTGGCCAAATATGATTTTAGATAGTCTAGCTGGTCTAAGCTTATATACGACTAATAAATTTGTACAAGGTTATCAAAGTGAAAAAAAAAAAATTAGAAAATAAAAAGAAACAACTAGACTTCATAAACACAAAGAAAGACCAAGTTTTTACTGACCTAACAACAATAGTTACACTATCTACAAATTAAGCTCAAAAGTATTACAAGAAATAGCAGAAGATCTAGAAAGACAAATTAAAGAATAACAAGAAGAATTAGAATATAAACCCTTAACAAAAAATAAAAAAACTGAATATAATAAAATCAAAATGATTGTTGATAATATGAAACAAACTATAAAAGAATTGATAATAGCATTTATAGTACTATCAATTTGAAAAGGAGATAATGAACCATATATGCAAAATATTGCAGAATTATACAAAATTAACTCTCAGACTTTATTAAAACAGATCAAAAAGAAATATGTAATATAACCAGTAAATGAACCAACCTTGGCTGATTAGAATAACAGATAGACAATTAGAATTTTGGCTAATCTAACATCCAAAAAGGTTATATATAGATGAATAAATATTGTGGCTAAGAAACAAATTCAAAAAAATATTTGACTAGAAGTACAAGCGTACTCATTAGTATTAACAACCTTTGAAATAATGGCAATAAGAAAAATAGTACAAAATTTAGAAACTCTAGAAAATACATATAAAAAGAAAGTATAAAAAAAACAAACAATTGCCTAAAAAGTTTATTTCTCAAAATTAAGAGATATATTAACCTACCTACAACTAGAACACATATCAAAAGACAAAAATCTAATAAATAAAGAATTGAAATTAGCAAACTTAATCCAAGAAGATTATAATCAATTTTGCTTTAATGCACAAATTAAACCACATTTTATCAAAGAAATATAATGGCTATAATAACTTTTCTAAACTTAGAAAAGATCAACTTTCAAATAATGATAGGAGGAATGAAGTTTAATGAAAGAAATTGAATACAATTCTGAAACCAATTCTTATATGCCATCAAAATACATGTATAAAAGAATTATTGACCTTAGAATATTTTAAAGAAGATCTATCAAATCGATATCAAAGAATAAATGACAATACTACAATAGTTACTAACATGGCTGAGACAATGAAGAAGCATTCAATACAGGATTTCACAAAAGAATAATAGAAAAATTAGTATATTTATACTTTGAATATACACAATTTACCAAATACGAGTTATATAAAAATAATATTGTATGTCTAAACCCATGCGATATATATGCAAAACACAAGGACTAGGAAGAAGAAGATGAGCATTTGACTAGGAAGCAATATGGAATACAACTAACAATGTATTTACTATAAAAGACGATACTAGGTTAGAAACAGTAACAGGACTAGATGTAACATTTGGAGCTAACTGTAATGGAGCAAGAGGACAATCAAATCTAGTATGCAAAGATGCTACAAACGCAGGAAATGCAAGATCAAGACAAATATTATTTAGATTATGGATGGATAACAAATACATAACTGCACAAAACATAGTAGACAAACAAAGAATATTTGAAGAAATGAGATTCAAACCAACATATACTAAAGAATTTGACAAAGCTTGAATCTTTAGAATCTATTTATAAGAACTAAGAAAATTGTGAAAATAGACACAACATATGAAGGAGGACTACAAGTAACACTCGACAAAATGTTACTATTAGGACAACATGACCTAGAAGACTACCATAGCTAAATGAAATTAATTAATGACAAAATTAGAACTCAAGAAGCATTTTTTGAAGTAGAATCTAAGTATATGAATACAACAAGGAAAGAAATGTTAGAAAATACTTTAGAAGCAAAAATGAAGCAAAGCAAACAAATTACCTAAATAAAAAAGAATACTTTAACAAAGAGAAGGACAAACTATTTGGAAAAGGAGATTATGAAATAACAACCTTGCAAATTTAAGATGCTATTTATGTCATCAAAAAGGACACTATATATCAAACTGCCCAAAGAAAGGAAGTTATAAAATAATATACAAAAAAGATGACAAAAGGAAAAATAAAAATAATAATTATAAAAAAGTCTATGGAAACAAAAACTATAACAAATAAAAGAAAGATTTCAGAAAAGAATACAAATAAGAAAAGAAAAAATACTGAGATAGAACAAACAGATAACTATCAGAGGAAGAAAAGAATAAACTTAGAGATAAACTTAAAAAGAAGATATTTGAAAAAAATAATAAAAACTACAAGAAGTACAAAAAAAACTATAAAAAACAAGAATTTAAAACTGGAGAATACAAACTAGCAAACATGTACAATACATTTGGAATACCACATAGCAATGATAAAGTACCTGGACTCAACAAACCCAAATTCAAATAATACTGCAGATACTGCAAAACTAATACCCACTCAACTGCAAATTGCTACAAATACCAAAAAGATAAAGAAGAAGTGG